ATGCTTTTTATTTCCAGAGTTGTGGGTCTTCTGGAGAGTGAATGTTTGGAGCAATAGGAAAAGTGGCAATTTGTGCTTCCAGTTCTGTCCATAACTTTAAGGCAAGTCAGTGAATTCTGTACTTTTTCTTTTAACTGCCAAGTAAAGAAAAAAGCAAGATCTATCCCTTCCTCTTTGTGAAATCCTGAAAGACCAAAGTGTGAGTTCTAGAAAATTCTTTAAGAAGTAGAAACTGTCATTTCTCACTTATAGTTTGTTATATCCATGATTATTTTTATTTTTCCTTTTGTGTGTTTCATTTGTCACTATTTGAAGTTGATAAAGTTCTAACTCATTGTAGTGGTGCAACGCCTTTAATCCCAGCAGAGGCAGGCAGATCTCTGATTTCGAGGCCAGCCTAGCCTGCATAAGTGAGTTCCAGGTCAGCCAAGCCTACACCGTAAGATCTTATCTTTAAAAAAAAAAAAAAAGTAAAAGCATGCAGAGTTCTGCAAAGGTTGTGAGGGAGAGGCTGCCTGAGGCTGGGTCACCTTTGCCCTATAAGCCATTCTTGCTTAATTTTAAAAGTTCACATTTCATCTAAAATAGTTAACTCCAGTTTAATGAACCCTAGGTTTTGCTCTGTAAATACAAACTATATTAGATTTATTTTTCTAAATGGTTAATACTCTTGAATGTCAGTTGAGATCATAGACAGTGTTTCAAAGTTATAAATGTTGACCAATGGTAAATAGTGTCCCATTTTCTTATATAGACAACACATTTGAGAAAACAAAACTATACCCTAAGCCTCTACTATTAAGATAATTAACTAAATCATAGGTATCTCCAGTCAATGAGAAAAAATATAACTGCTCAGTGATAATTTTTGATAGTACCTAATAACCAGTGGTAATATGCAGAGTGCTTAGAAGTGAAAGAAGCTGGAATTATTACATGCCTCATTGTTGCCTTAAAGGCAGAACCTAATAATGCTACTGTAAAATTCTTGGGAAAGCCACTTCAGTTCCATGTAATAAGTCTTAGTGAGAATAAATTTCTTATGTCCAGTAAAGTTTATGATGCAGTACACTTAGCAATTCAGATTAGTATTCACAGATACTTAGATGTTTGTGTATTTAGGTAAAACTTAATTTCTGATCTCAAAAGGTGCAGGTACTTTTTGATACTTTCAGTTTCCTAAGTGTTTTCAAATATGTGTATGGGAATAATCATTATTCATTTAAAAATCAGGAAATTTTTCATTTTTATTTGCTTTCTTCTCAATAGGAAATGCTTTATCCTAATCCGTTCCTTTATTAAGATAATTGTTCATGGGCTCAACAGGTAAAAGTGTTTGCAGCACAAGTCTAGAGTTCTGAATTGGGATCCCTTGGACCCAAATTAAAGCTAGGTGCAGTTTGTCCATTTTATTTCCACACTTGTGTGATGGCAGGCATATGCACACTGTCACACACAAACATGTACAGAAATACAAAAGCTGATATTTTAAAAACAACACTTGGGAGGTAGAGGCAGCTGGATCTCTGTGAGATCAAGGCCAGCCTTGGTTACATAGTGAGTTCCAGGCCAGCTGGGGCTACAGGGAGACCCTGTCTCAAGAAACCAAAAATGAATGAAATAAGGCTGGGCGAGGTAGAACACACCTTTAATCCTATCACTTCAGAGGCAGGAGCAGCTGGATCTCGGAGATCAAGGCCATCGTGGTCTAAATAGCAAGTTTTAGGCCACAGGGAACTACAGGGAGAACCTGTCTAAAAAAAAAAAAATTAAAAAACCAAAAAAAATAATAAATAAAGAAATGGAATGAAATGAGATGAAATAAAGTGAAATAATTGTTCATGGTAGTGAAGCCAGTAACTGGCAGTTTGTGCTAGTGAAGCTAATAACTGTGGTTTTAAAGCTCTTTCCTCAAAATGACTTCTGTCATCTGTAGAGCTCATAGGCTTTAAAGAAATGGTCATTTATAGAATTACATATTTTGGAAATCTTATTACTTAAATCTTTTTTAAAAAAACATTTTAAACAGAACGATCTCTTTGGCTCATTCTGCAGCTTCAGACTAAGATGTAGACAGAACTAACTCTTAATAGATTTTTGTAGCCAGGCATTGTGGCATACACTTTTTATACCAGCACTCAGGAGGTAGAGGCAGGTGGATCTCTGTGAGTTCTGTCCAGCCAAGGCTACAGAGAGAACGTATCTTTTAAAAAAGGAAGGAAGGAAGGAAGGAAGGAAGGAAGGAAGGAAGGAAGGAAGGAAGGAAGGTCAAAAAGAAGGGAGGGAGGGAGGGAGGGAGGGAGGCAAGGAAGAAAGGAAGATAGATAGATTTGTTATGAGGCTGGAGAGATGACTGCTGGGGAGGTAGTGATAGGAGGATTCCTGGAACTTGCTGGCCAGCCGTTCTAGCCAAAAATTGTCATTTGTTTTCAGTGTGTTCCAGGTTCAGTGATAGACACTGTCTCAAAAAAGTAAGAAAATAAGGTGGAGAGAGATTGAGGTAGATACCTGATGTTGACATACAGACAGACAGACACACATATGGACATATGCACACAAAAGATTTTTATTATAAAAGTTGTCTTTATTTATTGAGAGTTTCATACATGTATATGTGTAATGTATTTTGATCAAATCCACTCTCCTATCCCCCACCACCACTTTCACCCCAACTTCATGTGCTCCCTTTTATATACTCACTGAGTCTATTTAGTGCTGCCAGTATGTGTATGGTGTAGAGCCATCTACAGGAACATGGATAGCCTCTCAGGGGCCCATCCCTGAAAAGAACTGACTCTTCCTCTCCCAGCACCCATCAGTTGCCCCATAGCTCCTCAGCTAGGGGTGGGACTTTGTGACTGCCACTATGAGTTCATGTATGCAACAGCCCTGTAATTTCTGGAATTCATTGTTTTGCTGCAGTTACCCACTACCTCTGGCTTTCACAGTCTTTCTGCCTACTCCTCTGTGGTGGTCTCTGAGCCTTGGGAGGAGAGGGTGTGATACCCTGTCCCATTAAGGACTGAGCACTTCATAGTCTCTTATTCTCTGCACATTGACCAGTTGTGGCCCTCTGTTGATTGCCATTAACTGCAGAAGGAAACTTCTTTAAGGAGGGTTGAGAAGCATTAATCTTTGCTTATTAATATAAGAGCTTAGGGGAAGTTCAACGCTTTGTTCATTTAGGAAAATAGTAATATGTTCTCTTCCATGGGCTGTACTGTTTATCTTGTGGATCATGCCTTCAATCCAAACAGGAAGTGGTTGGTTATTCTCATAACATTTGTGCCACTATTGCACATATGGGAATACCTTGCCAGGCCAATCATTGTTGTAGCTCACAGGATTCACAGTACTTGATGACTTTTCACCCTGGGAGCATACATAGCAGCTTTCAGGTCAGTACCAGCTTGATTTCTTCATGTCCTGTGACTCAAGTATTTTGATGTCTTTAGCATTAAAGACTTACTGCCAGATTCTGGAAGGTAACCAAGAGCAATGGCAAGAGCCTGTAATGTTTAGGGTGGGGGTGAATCTAAAAAGCTCTACATGGTACTGGCTGTGCAGAGAACCCAGGTTCAGTTCCCAGCACACACACATGGCAGCTAAGAACTGTTCATAACTCCAGGTCCAGGGGATCTGGTTCCCTCTTCTGGCTTCCATGGGCATTGCACAACAATGTATACACTTACATGCAAGCAGATAAAACACTTATACATGTATTTTATTTTAAATAAATAAAAATTTAGCTGGGCGTGGTGGTGCACACCTTTAATCCCAGTACTCCGGAGGTAGAGGCAGGCTGATCTCTGTGAGTTCAGGCCAGCCTGGTCCATATAGTGAGTTCCAGGACAGCTGGGGCTACAGGGAGACCCTGTCTCAAAAAGACCAAAAATAAATAAATAAATAAATAAATAAACAAATAAATAAAAATTAAAAATTTTCATGTTACCAATTATGTGAAGTAAAATTTCCTCTTCCATTTCCCAGAAATATAAAGTACTATTAAGTCTGTTTTTTTCTTTTTCCCCTGGTGTTTTCATGATAGATGAGTACACAAAATTTAAGGGTTTTCTTCCAGTTTAAAGTAAATACTGTATACTCTTCTAATTACTTTTTTCTGATAGCTACACAGTATTTCATTAAATCAATGGACTAATTTATTTAACCAAACTTGTTTTAATTTACTGAATATTGATATCTTTTTTAAACTGAAGTGTTCATTGGTGGTGCTGAGGATTAAACCCAGGGCCTCTTGCATGCTGGATGCTCCGTCTCTGAGCTGTATCCCCAGCCCCTGAAGAATCATTTTGAACCTTTTTTTTTTCTCTTGTCCTCTAAGTTAGGATGGTAACTATATCTGAGAACTGAGACTGTACCACCTTTACAGCTCCCAGTAACTAGGTTGAGTGCCTAACACATGTTCAATAAACCTTTCCTAAAATATTTGGTCAAAATATGACCAGTTTTAAAAACATACCATTGTCCACCATAACATATATACAGTTATCTTGAAGGAAAACAGTTTGTTTTTAAGTAGCCATGGCTTTTGGGAATCAGAGGAAACACCTATAAGGAACAGTTCTGGTCTAACACATTTTGCCCAAGGAACCCTCTCCGTGGAGGATGTGTGACTGCTTTTGGACAGAAATGAAACATGTCAGTGGATTGGTTTAGATGCTGCTGGTAATTAAAGCATTCAGGAAGGTGTTATTCAGCAAAAACTGCTTCTGCTTACCTTTTTCAGTCTGCTCTCTGCCTTAGTTGCTTACAGTCTTCATTTTCCACACAAGGTTTGGGGTATCTGAAGCAATTAAATTTAGTCTCGGTAAAAAGCTTTACTTTGATAAAAGGCAGATCTCCAACAAATTTCTAATTATCTCATCCAGCATCTCCATATTTTGAAATTAAGGCTGTGTACCAAATATGAGTCACGGTGAGGACATTGTTCTTTAGACATTCTCAGGCAATCTAAGTCATGTCTCTTCTTTTTTTTTCAGCGGGTCCATATGGAATATTTGCTGGCAGGGATGCCTCCAGGGGACTGGCGACATTTTGCCTAGATAAAGATGCACTTAGAGATGAATATGATGATCTCTCAGATCTGAATGCAGTACAGATGGAAAGTGTTCGAGAATGGGAAATGCAGTTCAAAGGTATCTTCATTCTTTTAGGTCTTTGGAAAATTGAATATGTATTCAAAGAAAGTATATGTTATTTCACATGGATTAAGAGCCTCAGGATGTCATCTCTTGCATTTCCATGGTTATTAGAACATCTTTTAAGCAGAAGTAAATATTAATGACTATTGCATGTGATATTTAAGAGTTATTAAGGTACAGTTTTAAAAAAATACAGACTTGTATTTAAAATGAAGTAGAAAGGTTAGGGATCTTAAAAGTAGATCACATAATTAGCTTGCTTGTACCCTGGGTTCCAACCCAGCACCATCCAAAGCACCACAGACAACAACAACAAAGTTAATTTAAATCAACACTGTAATTATAATGTACTCAAACGATTTAAATTTTTATTTAATTTCGTTTTTATGGGTATGAGTGTTTTGTCTGCATGTTTGTAAGTTTACCCATGCCATATATTGCCACAGAGGCCAAAAGAGGGTGTCAGGTCCCCTGAAACTGGCAGACGGTCAGTAGCTACCATTTAGGTGCTAGAACCCGGGTCCTCTATAAGAGCAGCCAGTGCTCTTAACTGCTGAGCCATCTCTCTAGTTCTGTCAAATGATTTAATTGATCATAACTTTAAGTGGTAAAGAGGGAATACTGTTCCCCTCTGTTGTGACTTTACAGCATCCATTTTTACCACCTATATGACACTGTGGCAGCCATTTATCTCCAACTGGGTCCTTTGGAGCAGCTCCTGGCTTCTTGGCACTTGCCTTGGTTCTCCTGTGTGAAGAACCCTCTTAACCCACTTGACAGCTAATCCACTTAGACTTGGTTTAATTCACTTAGCCTAGATTTTACTTCCTGACAGAAAGTAAACATGGATTGCCTGTGTAGAAACTTCTAAATTAAACGCCTGATCACATAAAACCAAGCAAAGTAGCAGATCTAAGGAGAAAATTTGAGAGGGAAAAAATAATGATGTGACAGAGGCAACAAAGAGCCCAGGAAAACAAATGATAGAGTAGCTTTTGTCCCTTGTGCAGCACTATGTCACATTTTTTCTCTCCAGAATGTTTCTCAGATCTGCTTGCCCTGTAGTTTCCGACCTCCTGTGCTCTTCCACACACCCCCACCTTATCCCATTCAGCCTCAAGAAAGTCACTTTTTCCTTCTTCATGTCTACTTCAAATATTAGCCATAGATTTTTTTCATCAATCTTTTAAATAAGAAATTCCCTACAGTGCCAGGTATAATATTTAATTGTGTGTGTGTGTGTCTGTATCCCGGGTTGACTTCAAACATGTGGCAAATTTCCTGCCTGATCCTCCCAAGTGCTGAGATTATAGGTATGAAACACTATATCCAGCTCTAATTATAATTTTAATTGTAATATTTTGAACTATTAAGAGTCAAAAGAATTGGGCTGGGAGTGGAGCTTAGTAATAGGGCACTTTCTTAGCATGCGTAAACCCTCAGGCTCAGTCCTTGCACCACAAAAACTAAACAGAAACATTCTGAGCCTTGCAAATGACCATTTTTAATCTTCAGTGATTCTGATTTGTCTAATTAAGAAATACTGAGACTGAACTCTTCTGCAAAGAGTAGTTCCCAAACCTTGTCAGTTCCCTAATACTGTTTCTTTCTATTCAGGCCTTACATACATATAAATGAAGCATTGGGTAAAATTCAGCTTATTCTGTATGATTTGTTTCTTATGTTTTGAGACAGATCTCCCTGTAGCCCAGCCGGCCTGGAACTCCATGCAGACCAAGCTGGCCTCTGTCTCACAGGGATCTGCCTGCCTTTGCCTCCCTAGTTCTGGCATTAAATGTGTATGCCACCACTCCTGGCCTGTAAGATTTTAAAAGAGGCAAGGAGTGTCTTCTTTGCCATATAATGGAACCCTAAAACAAATTTGACCACTACTGATTTTATTTTGATGTATCTTTCAGAAAAATATGATTATGTAGGCAGACTCCTAAAACCAGGGGAAGAGCCATCAGAATACACAGATGAAGAAGACACCAAGGATCACAACAAACAGGATTGATCTTTGTAAACAACCAAAGTCAGGGGCCTTCAGAACTGCAACTCTTACTCTCTTCAGAGAATGTCCAGTGTCTTTGGGTCTGATTCACCTGTTGCAAGAAACATTCACCAGAGTATACAAGATCAATGAGTCTCACTATGAAGATCTGAATATGAGGCATTATTTGTGCCACCAGATGAATTTGTTGCAGTTGTTTGTAATGTCTGGTGGATTTCATCATCCTGAAAAGGAGACAGGGCTTTCTAAACATCAAGAAAGTCACCAGGTTACTTCACCACTTACACTTTACCACTCCCGCCCCAATCCTTATCCTTCTTTCCCCCCCCCCCCCACCCCGTTTTCCTACATCTTTTACCCTCTTTCTCATTCTCTGTCTCTCTCTGTTTGGAAAAATATATATATCAAAGACGCCGGATGTGGTGGTACATACCTTTAATCCCAGCACTTGGGAGGCAGAGGCAGGCAGACCTCTGTGAGTTCAAGGCCAATCTGGTCTACATAGGAAGTTCCAGGCCAGCTGGGATTACAGGGAGACACTGTCTCAAATAAGCAAGCACACAAACAAAACTTAT